TATATATATATAACACATGATATGTAATGGAGAATGGCAAAGATAAAGATTTTATTATAGATCTTGGAGAGAAAAAGGTTTGCCCTCCCATGGGAGGGTTCAGATTATTTACATATTATCTCTCTCTTCTAGAGAGAAGATTTTTGTCCAGAAGAAGAAGAAGCAGCCCCCTTTCTAGGGGTTTCTATCTTTGTATTTATAGCAGGATCATTGGTGACTGTAGATGGATGGCCATAGCCGTATGGAGACTTGGAGCAGTAGGTCGTGACCTCTATAGTTAAAGAGTATAATTGCCGTAAACCAACAGTATTAGATCGATAATTTTATTATATTAATAATGAACATTGCTGGAGAATTAATAACCATAGTGATTATTATAAGGTCGATTTCTGACCCATATAGATAGTCCCTCCGCTTATAGAAGCTGTACCCTGGTCGGGCTCAATGAGCGGATTATGTCGTCCTTATCGTGTAAGACTAGATCGTGAGAGCAGTGTATTGATTTGGTCGTAATTACAAATAGATGTGACCAATCGTGATAGAAATAACAGAACTGTGGTCAGATGAGACGGTCGTCACTGACAATATGATTAAAACGGACGTAACTGAAATTACTTGGGCATTGCTACAGACGGTTGTAACCTCTACACATTGTAACGTGGTCGTAGCCTGATTTCGATTTCGCAAAGACGGCCATGGACATAATGTCATAAAGACTTCATTTTGCTATAGCCGGGTGAGGATGATAGCGACAATTATCTTCATTAGGATGGCCGTAACTAAGCAAACTTGGTAAATGATTGCCAACGCATAGTGGTTTTGAGAACGGCCATAAACGCTACTTTAGGAACGGCCGTAGTCATGTTGTTATCTTTGAAGACGGGCGTAACTGCTATATGTACAAATTCGATCATAATAAGATCAATATCATGTAAAAACAACAATGACCGTTATTTCCACGAAGTTGAATGTTATCAGATACTGCCTCGTCAGTGGATGAACATAGCTGAAGGTTTATTTTTCAAGGACGGTCGTAAACAATGTCGTTCTCTGAGATAGGTCGTTGTTGGAAACGTGAATGTAGCCATGGATGTAAACCTGTTCAAGTTCACATACGACCGGTATTCTAAGCTTGTTGCTGAACAGGATATATTCTTGTCATTCCGCACAATCATAGTTAATTACGAGTGCGTTGAAAGAGGTGACGCTTTGTTTAGATGATAGAACGCTTACCTAGCGACGTTCTGCCAAAAAGGTACTTGTCACATCGGATCTGAATCGTTTCACAGCCTATCATGTCATCAATGATGACCATTGGGATTCGTGATTACCGCTTTGGATCCATCTTATAAATTGTGGGTTTTAACTATCTGTTTATCACTTTTTCACTCCTTATTCAAGCGAAACTTCTGAAAGAGTTGATTTTCCTTTCTTTGAAATCTTCGACCCATTCTCTGTAATAACAATGGCTTCCGGCTCTCATACCGACATTGTTCCATCGGCTACTCCGGCGACTGATCAACCTTCCACGGGGGTAACGCCTATCGCTGTCGTAGATGTCAATAGACCTCCATTGGTGAATGATATTCTCGCCTTTCCCGGCGGTACAGCGACTGACTTTTCCGAAGACGGAGGAGAAGATTATATAAATGAGACTCCTTTGATGGGAGCAGAGGATTTGCGCCGCTTGAGGGAGGAATGTGGCGTTCCTAGTTATGCAGGCATTATACTCGCCGAAGGTTGGCGCAGAGTACACACTGAACGTCGTGGATACTACGTGTATTACGCTTATTGTTTCCGGGTAGGGTTCAACCTTCCTCTTCCGATGCTGGTAGTAGATTTATGCCGCCTCTACAGAGTGTGCCCCGGCCAGTTAGTTCCTTCTTGTTATAAGTTGCTAGCTATGCTGATCAAGTATGTGGAATTAGCACGGAGAGAGATCACTCTCAGGCATGTGCTTACTTTATACGCCCCTCAAAAGACTAGGGGTACCGTGATTAGGTTGGTTCCTCGTGGGGCCAGTGGTTTAACTGTGGAGCTGACTGATGAAGTCGGTGTCCGTCCCTTTCAGCATTTTTTCTACATTAGAACTGAACATCTGGTGGCAGATGCTACCAACTTTCCTGCGGGGTGGAACCTCACACGTAAGTTTCTTTCAGTCGTATCGTTTCCGTAGACTTTTAATGTGTATTTCTCCCTAATTAACATTCCTGTCGTAATCACAGCTGGGGGTCCTCCGCCAGAGCCGTTCTCAGGAATCCGTGATTGGGTCGAGGCCGTGCTTCCCGTCACAGAGGGGATACGCACATGGGAATCTTTCTGGGCGGTTCATGGGCGAAGGCCGTCTTCTGGTGAGCGTCTCATTTGCGGCTTCGTTCTTTAGCTCCCTTTCCTTTTTTTTTCTTTTGTTTAACTTCTCCTTTTAAATTCTTCCCTATTATGGTGATTAGGGCAACCGTATCGTAGGAGGGCCCCCCAGCTTGCTTTTCGAAGGCCGGGGGCAATGGCACGATTGGTGACAATGCCGGCTCCTCGATTGGTTTCCTGGGTGGCTTCTGTTGAATCAACGACGGCTCAATCTCCACGGCAGCCCGTGCCAACGGTTGAGGAGTCTTCGGAAGTTAAGCGCCCTCGTGCAGAGGCGATGCAAAGCGAAGATGAAGGGGAGAGCGCAAGACCGCATGTTCGACGCAGAGTGGCGTTCAATCCATCCCTTCCGGTAGTAATCAGCTTAGATTCTCCCCCATCGGAACCAGAGGGGAACGTGGTGAAGCCGTCCTTGGAGGAGGACCGTTCTTTGGGGGTTGCCCCGGTTGGCGTAAGCCGAGTTGTTACTGATACCATCGCCTCGGCGATTCAAATTTTGACTCCAGCTGCTGAGAGGGAAGGAGATTCCCCAGTAGCTGCGTTGGTGGAAGAAACGGCTACTCAGGCCGTGATAAATGGTACTGCTCCAGCTTCTCATGCGGCAGAGGCCTCATCTTCTAGGGCCGCCGCGAGAGAGGGCGGCTTAGGTGAAGGGAATGATTCTGAATCAGACATGGATCCGGAAGACGTCCGTCTGTTTAGAGAGGGATTTTCTCGGCCCGAGATGCCGGCTCAAGGGGATCATCGGTACATTCGGATCCCCAACGAGCAGAATTTGTTGCTAGAGGAAGAGAACTTGGTGAATATATGCGCAACGTTGCATTCCCAGGTGGAGAGCACTTCTGTGCAGGGCGTTTCGGATTTGGGCTTGATGGGCGAGGTTGCCTCTCATTGTATAAAGGTACGATGGCTCACTTTGTTGGTTTCTTGTTTCGGCGTTTCTTATTATCTTGATTGTTCCTCACTATTCTTTTTATCACTTCTTAAAAATTCTTTGTAGCTATTTGTGATGGAGGTGGAGAGTATTTGCCGGGCCAATGCTCGTTCGGCAACCTTTACTCGCATGCTGGAGAAGTACCGATGTTCCAGGGATCGATGCCGTGAGATGCGCGAACGTCTCAGGAACGACCCCCGGAGCCGGGATCTGGCCGAGGAGTTGCAGCGGACCCTTGATAAAGTGAGTACTCTTGAGGCGCAACTCCGTCGAAAAGATGAGGAAATGGCGACGGAGAGGAAGGTCGTTGCTCAGAGAGAGCATAGGGCTAGGGCAAAGTCGATAGAGACCGCTGAAGCCTTAACCAGGCGGGCATTAGCTTCGGAGGTGGAGGCCGAAGGTTTAAAGGCACAACTTAGGGAGGCCGTGTCGAGGGCGAATGCCGCAGCTGCAGCGCATAGCGTTCATGACAGGGAGTTCATCATTGCAAAAGCTACTGCCTCCTACAAACAGGCAGCGCTGGAGGAATGCATTGGCGTTCTTGAGCGAGAAGCTCAAGTCTCGACAGATCGTATTGCGGCCTTAGAAGTAGAGTTGGATTTTAATGCCCGAGATGCTGTGGACTAGAGAACGGCTTTGGAGGCTGAGAATCAGTGCCTGAGGGACCAAGTTATTGCTTTTGGCCCTGCTCGAGAGAATTGGACCTTCGCTGAAGCTCAGCTTGATGTGTACAAGCGGCTGTGGGAGGCAGGGGTCGTTCCGGTGACGGCTTACGAAGAAGCTCGCCAAAGGGCCCGTGATGCTCGAGTTGAATGTGGCTTTGATCCGTCCACTCCTGGAGCTGAAAATGGCGCTGAGGGCGCAAGATGATGGTGGTGAGGGTGCAGATGGCGCCGAGTGACAAGTGAATTTCTTGGAGAAAAGTTTTTGTACTCTTGTTCCTTTTTTTTTTTGGTTTTGTTTTGGCCGGCCCTGGGCCGTTTGTAATTGGGGGTAACCCCTTGTGAATATGTTGTGATATATGCAGGCGCTTTCCTTATTTCATATGTTTTTGATGGTTACTTGATCATGTGACGTTGTTTTGATGGTTTTTGTCGTACTCAAAATACCGGCTCTTAGCCTCAAATGGCATTTGTAGCATAGACCTTTTTTTGACGGCCGTAACCGTGCTTAAGAGGTGATGGCCTTAGCCATGTAGATTTTAATAAGCGTGTAGACGGCATTGGCCAATTGGTCGAGTTGGACCATTGTCGAAATTGGTTCTACGCCTTAGTTAATAGCCGAGTTGGCTATTAGTGTCGACGGTCTTGACCGTGTTTAGGCATTTTCGACGCGAGTGGATTGTTGCCTTTGTTTGGCAGCGGCGGCACGTAGCCTTAAGCCTTAATTTCAGTTCAGGTTTGGTTAGACTCCTGGTCGTGGCAATGGCAGGTACGGCTTTGTAATCTGATCAGGACCGAATTTATCGGAGATAGAAAATATTTTAGCTTGAGTGAGTTGTACTTACTTGAGTAATGGGGGCCTATGGCCGAGATTTGGGTTCGGCCGTGATCGAATTGTTTTGAGGATGTTGTGCTTTGTCCGTGACTTGACTCATAATTGTATGGACGTCCCTCATTGCTTTGGGTTTGTCCCAGGTTGGATTTGAGCTTTTTAACCTGACTCGTAGTTGATTGTCTGTAGTTGGCTTGTGTTTGATTTCCACTCCAACTTATAACTGGGTTTTCATGTCCGACCGTAGTTAAGCCTCTCGTTATTTTCAGAAGTCGAAGGCACATAGCCTGAATACGTTCGACCGTGATTGAACTTCTTCCAATTTTTTAAAGTCGAAGGCTCATAGCCTGAGTCCCAGTTCAATTAATAATTGAACTTTCGAGTGAGGGCACATAGCCTGAATACGTTCAACCGTGATTGAACTTCTTCCCATTTTTAAAGTCGAAGGCTCATAGCCTGAATCCCAGTTCAATTCATAATTGAACTTTCGAGTGAAGGCACATGGCCTGAATACATTCAACCGTGGTTGAACCTCTTCCAATTTTTAAAGTCGAAGGCTCGTAGCCTGAGTCCCAGTTCAATTCATAATTGAACTTTCGAGTGAAGGCACATGGCCTGAATACGTTCAACCGTGGTTGAACCTCTTCCAATTTTTAAAGTCGAAGGCTCGTAGCCTGAGTACGTTCAACCGTGATTGAACTTCTTCCCATTTTTAAAGTCGAAGGCTCGTAGCCTGAGTACGTTTCACACGCACGCTCGAAACGCAAACCAAGGTGGAGATTGAAAATATTGGTTTATGTTTAGTCAACAATGGCATGCCAATTGTTGGAGTTGGTGGAAAGAGTTGGTGTGGATGCTAGGAGGAAGCTTCCTCCTTTGATGTCACCCATGACATCAAGAGGAGGTAGTTTGATGTCACCAATGACATCAAGAGGAGGTCTTTACCTCTATAAATAGATGCACTCCTTGATTTGTAGAAATCATCCCAAAATAATACAATACATTGTAGTGAGTAGAGAATCAAGAGAGAAATTCTCTTAAGTGTAATTGGGAAATCTCCCCTTTCTTTGTTAATATTAAAAGGCAACTGTTCTCTGGTGGACGTAGGATTATTTTGATCCGAACCACGTTAAATCTTGTGTTCTTTCTTTTACGTTTCCGCTAACAATATGAGTATGAAGGTAATGCTGATTCAATTGACATTATAGATTCAGATGAAGATACTGATGATACATATTCATATGACAATGAAGATAGTGCCGATTCAGATGAGGATGAAAATGATTTCGTGAGTAAACCTCCATATCTATTATGTCTGATTGTGCTAGTGGAGCTGGAAATGAAGAAGACTTTTCTTGGTGAAACAAGGGCTTCAAAGTTTTGTCAATCAAGAACTTTCAAAAAGCAAAAATTCCCTAAAGATTTTTCACAGCAGCTTCACAGTCTACTGGTGTGTCTCAAGTGCAAGAAGCTTAAGAACTTTTCTGATACTATCTCTGTTCGAAATATTAATGTGGCAATAGAGTTATTGTTGGTATTTCTTGCTGATGTGCCAAATCATGTTGTTAATGGGAAGAGGTTGAATGAGGTCTTGGAAGAGGTTGGAGCTCTTGTGGGCGATGTTCTATGTGTAATTCATAGCTCTATTATCAAAGATGATACTAGCAAGATAAACCTTTGCTCGATGCAGATATTGGAGAAAAATGAACATCTAAAGGCACAACTGGAGAGGTACTACAAATCCTTAAAATTCACTCCATCTAAGTTTCCCACAGTTGGTGGATTGAGCTTTCTGGATTCTTTATTAAGAAAATTGAATGAGATGATGAAATCTGAATTAGGTTTAGTTTTGATGATGAAGCATCATATTGTTATTTTAGAGAAAGAGTTCTCATATCTAACATATGTTTTCAGAGATGTTGCAAAGGTGCAACACGAACGTGAAATTCTTAAAGAGCTCCAGAGGCGTACTATCAATTTGGCATACGAAGCTGAAGTTGCCATTGACTCTATTCTTGCTCAGGGTAATGCTCTTTGGTATATATTTTGCTCACTTCCTACAATCTTAAAAGAGATCAAGCATAATAGTGCGGAGGTGACCAGGATGTGGTCGAAAAACCTTGCTCTTAAGCCCAGCTCTATGGCAGAGCCATCTAAACATATGTCAACTCAAAATAGCAATCTTATGAATGACGAGGAGATAGTTGGTTTTGAGAATGACACAAAAAGAATAATTCAGTATCTGACACGAGGGACAAATGATCTGGATGTCATCCCGATTGTTGGGATGGGGGGACGAGGTAAAACAACTTGTGCTAGAAAGTTGTACAATAATAACATCATTGTTTCTCATTTTGATGTTCGAGCATGGTGCATCATTTCCCAAACATATAGTCAGAGAGAGCTATTACAAGAGATTTTCAGTCAAGTTACTGGTTCCAAGGATAAGGGAGATAAGGATGATGTCCTTGACGACAAGCTGATGAAAAGCTTAATTGGAAAGAGATATCTTATTGTCTTGGATGATATGTGGGATGGTATGGCATGGAATGACTTAAGACTTTGTTTCCCTAATGTTGTAAATAGAAGCAGAATTGTAGTAACAACTCGTCTTGAGAAAGTGGGTGAACATGTCAAGTGTCATACTGATCTTTATTTCCTTCCATTCCTCACGCCCGAAGAGAGTAGGGAATTATTGCAGAAAAAAGTGTTTAAATATGAAGCTTGCCCACCTGAACTATACGATATGAGTCTTGATGTTGCAAGACGTTGCAAAGGGCTGCCCCTAGTGGTTGTCTTGGTAGCTGGAATAATCAAAAAGAAGAAAATGGAAAGTTCTTGGTGGCATGAGATTAAGAAAGCTCTATTTTCCTATCTTGACCGTGAGTCTGAAGACTATAGTTGGGCAACTATGCAGTTAAGTTATGATAACTTACCTGACTATTTAAGGCCTTGCCTTCTCTACATGGAGATGTTTCTAGAGGACGAAAGGATCCCAGTGTCTAAATTGATAAGTTTATGGATAGCGGAAGGCTTCGTGCAGAACATTGAATCTGGGAGATTAATGGAAGAGACAGCTGAAGGTTACTTAATGGATCTCATTAGCAGTAACGTGGTAATGGTATCAAGTAGAAGATATAACGGTAAAGTCAAATACTGTCAGGTTCATGATGTAGTGCTTCACTTTTGTTTGGAGATGAGTAGAGAAGAAAAGTTTATGTTGGCAGTGAGGGGGTACATTCAACCATCCGATTTGAAGGAAAGTCGAGTGAGCTTCAGTTTCAGTAATGAGCTTTCCAAGTTTGAATCCAAAACGCGGAAGCCTTTCCACCAACACTTGAGGTCACTGATAACCACCAATGGAGGAGAATTGTACCGACCCGCCGAATTCTATATCAATTTCGTCACCCGACACGGCCAACTTCGCAGCTGCCATAGCTGCTCAAGTCCAAGATCTTGTGTCAACATTCCAACAAAGTCAAGGGCAGCAGCATATGGGCGAAAACACGGCACATGGGAGAAAGCAGCAACACATGGGAAAAAGCAGCTGCCATCATGAGAGACAAGCTGGGCCCGCAACAATTACTGCATAGCCCACTGGCCAGCATAATCATGCTCTAGCACTTTGTGGGGCAGAATCATCATCAGCCAGCACCATGTAGGGCCATACAGCTAGCCATTTTTGTGTATAAATAGCACATTTAGGATCTGCTAGAAATCATTCAGATATTTCCTTTCTTGCTTGTATTTCCCTTTGTTTATAACATAAACCAGAAAATTGGTCTTGGCCTCTAATCTTTATGTGTTTTTTAATTCACTGTTCATCCAACCGTTAGTTTCGCATATTTGCCTTAGCTTTATCACGAGTTTGTGCTTGCTATTTCGTTAGGACTGAGGCTAAAACCGACGTTAAGGGTGTTTAGCTGTCCGCACGTAGCTTACATAATTTAAGCTCGTGACAATTGGTATCAGAGCCAAGGCAATAGATATGGAAAACGAAGGAGACGATGTTGTAGGCACCATGCGTGGAAGAAAGGAGTCTCCCACAAGGAGGCAAAAGCCAAAGAAAAGAGGGACGAGCAAAGCACGTGATCTTGCCATGGGCGTAACAAGTGAAGGTGGTTCGTACGAACCACCTCCACAACAGGTTAGCCATGGAGAGGAAGGTGATGGTTCTGCATCGGGTCGTTTGGACGAGCGTGTAGACCAGCTGCTTTAAACCAGCGAATTGAAGTTGTAGAAGGCAACTTCGCTACACTTGAGTCTACAGCCTTAGAGGAGCTGGGAGAAGTCAAGAAACCCATGGATTTATTGACAGATGAGCACAAGGAAGGCCTACTCAACCTTGAGCTTAAGCTGACCGAAGCTGTTTCAACTTTGCACAGAGAAGTTGAAATTCTTAGGCAAACACTTGAAGCAGTCAGAGGTTCCAGTAACACTAGTACCGTGACGGTCCGTGAAGCCAAAATCGATGCCCCTAAACCCAAGGAATTTAGAGGCGATAGGAATGCTCAAGAAGTTGAAAACTTCATCTGGAAGTTGGAAGACTACCATGAGCACCTTGGTATTGTAGATGAGGCTGCAAAAATCCGGACAACCACTATGTACTTAGCCGACACCACCATGCTTTGGTGGAGAAGGAAGAAAGTTGAGATGGAGAAAGGCACTTGCACCATCAAAACTTGGGAACAATTCAAATCCGAGCTAAAGCGACAATTTTACCCACAAAACGTTGTCACGGAAGCTTGTCGGAAGTTGAGAGAACTGAAGCAAACAACTTCCATTCGTGAATATGTGAAGGAATTCAGGAAACATATTTTACAGATCCCCAACATGTCAAGTGAAGACTTGTTGTTTTACTTTATGGATGGCCTTCAAAACTGGGCCAAACAGGAGTTGCAGCGCCGCCAAGTTAAGGACGTCGATGAAGCTATCGCGGTGGCTGAATCCTTGACAGATTTTAGGATAGAGGCCACCAAGTCAAGGGACACTCGGAACAAGCCCGTCAAATCTGGAGGAGATCCTACCTATCTGGACAAAGGCAAGCAAGCTGCTGGACCCAATCGAGATTCCAAATAGGAAGGCAACCGTAATTCTCAATGGCGCGACAGATACAACGAGAAGAAGAAGGCGAATGGTCCTCGTAATGGATGCTATCTTTGCAAAGATCCAGGCCATTTCTACAAAGATTTCCCTTCCTTGGGCAAACTTAGTGCAATAATTGCAGCGGAACGGAGGCAAGGTGGAGCTACACAAGCCGGTGCACAGACAGATAAAGCTGCAGCCCAAGGAAGGCAAGATGTAGCGCACCTTGGCAACATGATGCATGGGGCGTTATTGACTAAGGAGCCTGCTTCGAAGCAAGTTACTCAAGCCAAGCCAGACCTTTCTCAAATAGGTCAGACTTTACTTGGTGCTGTAATGGGCAAAGAGCCCAGGTTGAAGAAGAAAGGGTCATTGTTCGTAGATGCAAAACTTAACGGACAACTTATTCGTATCATGGTTGACACGGGCGCAACCCACAACTTTGTGACCGAAGCCAAGGCTAGATCATTGGGCCTTACTTTTAGACCAAGTGATTCAATGTTGAAAACAGTCAACGCCAATCTTACAAACGTGAATGGGGATGCTCACAATGTACCACTTAATTTAGGAGCTTGGCAAGGGGGCGTGAGTTTGTTTGTCGCCCCCATGGACGTGTTCGATATTGTATTGGATCTGGAAATTTGGGACGAAGTCATGGCTTTCATTTTCCCTAGTCTCAATCAAGTCTACATTTGCGACCCAAGAGGTCCATGTGTAGTACCAACAGTTCGGGTAACGCAAGTCGTGGGTCAATTATCAGCCATGCAGCTCATAAAAGGCTTCAAAAGGGGAGAAGCCACGTTCTTAGCATCTGTAACGGAGATTGAGGTAAACAAGGTTGACGAAGCCTTGCCCCCATATGTACAACATGTTCTCAATGAGAACAAGGATGTGATGCTCGAGGATCTTCCCAAACGTTTACCTCCGCGTAGGGAGGTTGACCACCAGATTGAACTGATTCCAGGAGCGAAGCCACCAGCCATGGGTCCATATCGCATGGCACCTCCAAAATTGGAGGAACTAAGGAAGCAACTGAAGGAGCTTCTAGAGGCGGGACATGTCAGACCATCGAAGGCACCATTTGGAGCACCAATCTTGTTCCAGAAGAAGCAAGGCGGATCATTGAGGTTATGCATAGACTACCGTGCGCTCAACAAAGTCACGGCAAAGAATAAGTATCCAATCCCTTTAATTGCAGATTTGTTTGATCATCTTGGCCAGGCCAAGGTGTTTAGCAAGATGGACTTAAGGAAAGGGTACTATCAAGTTCGTATAGCCGACGAGATGATCCAAAAACAACCTGTGTAACCCGCTATGGAGCGTACGAGTGGTTGGTGATGCCATTTGTCTTAACCAACGGCCCCACAACTCTTTGCACCTTGATGAACAAGCTGTTTCATCAGTTTTTGGATCAGTTTGTGGTCATTTACCTTGATGACATTGTCATCTACAACAACAGCATGGAGGAACATCTTGGTCACCTCCGCAAAGTTTTCCAGGTTTTAAGGGAAACAATCTGTTTGTAAAAAGGGAGAAGTGCTCTTTTGCCCAACCCAAAGTGAAGTTTTGGGACATACGATCAGTCAAGGGCAGATTCGTATGGACAGCCACAAGGTCGCAACAATTAGAGATTGGGAGGCCCCAACAAATGTAACCGAGTTGCGGTCCTTTCTAGGCCTTGCCAATTATTACCGACGGTTCATTCTAGGCTACTCAGCAGTTGCGGCTCCGCTCACAGACATGCTGAAAAAGGATCGTTCGTGGGATTGGACGAATTCCTGTCAAGAGGCGTTTGAGGGCCTCAAAACAGTAATTTTGGAGGAGCCAGTCTTAGCCTTGCCGGACTTTTCAAAAGAGTTTGAGGTCCATACAGATGCGTCCGACTTTGCCATTAGCGGCGTTCTGATGCAAGAGGGACACCCGATAGCGTTCGAGAGCAGAAAGTTGAATGATGCTGAACGCAGGTATACTGTCCAAGAAAAAGAAATGACGACAGTGGTTCATTGCCTTAGAACCTGGCTTCATTACTTATTGGGAACACATTTCCTGGTCAAAACTGATAATGTAGCCACAAGTTATTTCCAGTCCCAGAAGAAGTTGTCACGAAAACAAGCACGATGGCAGGACTTCTTGGCGGAATTTGACTATTCCTTGGAATACAAACCGGGGAAGGCTGATGTTGTAGCCGACGCACTGAGTCGGAAGGTAGTGCTAGCGCCAATTGTTAGCACAACGCGCAGTGATATCCTTGATGTAGTCAAGGAAGGGATGCAACATGATCCGGTAGCAAAACAACTTCTTAACTTGGCCAGTCAGAGCAAGACCAAGAAGTTCTGGGCAAAAGATGGAATTCTTTATACTACCGGCCGACGCGTCTTTGTGCCCAAATGGGGCAATCTTAGGCGTACTTTAATCAAAGAGGGACATGATACCGCTTGGGCAGGGCATCCATGCCAAAGATGCACCATGGCATTACTTGACTCCGCTTATTATTGGCCACATATGAGGGATGATATCGAGGTATACGTCCGGACCTATCTAGTTTGCCAACAAGACAAGGTCGAGCACAAGGTACCAGGAGGCTTGCTGGAGCCTTTGCCCGTAGCGGAGAAACCATGGGACAGCATAACTATGGACTTCATTACGTGTTTGCCAAATTCAGAAGGCTTTGGCATGATCATGGTCGTGGTTGATCGGTTTTCGAAATATGCAACCTTCATAGCCACCACTTCAAATTACAAAGCAAAAGAGGCAGCACGGTTGTTCCTTAGGGACGTGGTCAAACATTGGGGTATCCCTACTCACATCATCAGCGATCGAGACCCTCGATTCACTGGTGCTTTTTGGAGAGAATTGTTCAATTTGTTGGGGTCGAAATTACATTTTTTCACCAGTTTTCACCCCCAAACAGATGGACAAACGGAAAGGGTCAATGCTCTTCTTGAGCTATACTTGAGGCACCTTGTGAGTACAAATCAGAGAGATTGGGCTAAGTTACTTGATACCGCCCAATTCTCTTACAATCTGCAACGTAGTGAGTCTACCGGAAGGAGTCCGTTCGAGCTAGCAACGGGGCAGCAGCCGAATACACCTCAAACTTTGCCAGTGAATTCGAAATTAAGGAACCCAGGGGCGTTCCATATGGCAAAGGCTTCGGAAGAGCAAGTAGATATGGCCAGATCGTACTTGGACAAGGCTGCTCGAAAAATGAAGAAATTTGCTGATCGGAAACGCAGACCGGTGCACTACCGAATTGGGGATAGAGTAATGGTAAAACTCAATCCCTGCCAATTCAAATAATTGGGAGGCGTCAGTCAAAATTTGATCCGGCGCTATGAGGGGCCATTCGAAATTCTTGCCAAGGTTGGTAAGATCTCATTCAAGCTGGATATGCCTAGTCATTTAAAAATTCATCTTGTCTTCCATGCCACTCAGCTGAAACCATACTATGCAGACAAGGATGATGCGGAGCGTGGGCAATCTAGCCGTGCCCAAATTTTCATTACACCTTCTGCCATAGACAAGAAGATTGAGGCAATTATCGATCATCAATTAGTCCGAGGCAAAGGTTGGGGCAATTCAAGTGCCCAATTTCTTGTTCATTGGAAGGGACAGTCAGCGGAGGAGGCATCATGGGAAAAATACGAGGACTTATGGCAGTTCAAGGATCAAGTCCATAATTACTTGAAACTTTGTGGCGCCGCGGTCGTCGCCATTTCAAGTGGGGGAGTGTGTACCGACCCCCCGAATTCTATATCAATTTCGTCGCCCGACATGGACAAATTCACAGCTGCCATAGCTGCTCAAGTCCAAGATCTTGTGCCAACATTCCAACAAAGTCAAGGGTAGCAGCACATGGGTGAAAACAGGGCACATGGGAGAAAGTAGCAACACATGGGAAAAAGCAGCTGCCATCATGAGAGACAAGCTGAGCCCGCAACAATTACTGCACAGCCCACTGGCTAGCATGATCATGCTCCAGCACTTTGTGGGGCAGAATCATTATCAGCCAGCACCATGTAGGGCCATGCAGCTGGCCATTTTTGTGTATAAATAGCACACTTAGGATCTGCTAGAAATCATTCAGATATTTCCTTTCTTGCTTGTATTTCGCTTTGTTTATAACAACAACAACAATAACAACCCAGTATAATCCCACTTAGTGGGGTCTGGGGAGGGTAGTGCGTACGCAGACCTTACCCCTACCCTAGGGTAGAGAGGCTGTTTCCAAATAGACCTCCGGCATCCTTCCCTCCAAGAACTTCCCACCTTGTTCTTAGGGAGACTCGAACTCACAACCTCTCAGTTGGAAGTGGGGGTTGCTTGCCATCACCCCTTTGTTTATAACATAAACCAGAAAATTGGCCTTGGCCTCCAATCTTTGTGTGTCTTTTAATTCATTGTTCATCCAACCGTTAATTCCGCATATTTGCCTTAGTTTTAGCACGAGTTTGTGCTTGCTATTTCGTTAGGACTGAGGCTAAAACCGACGTTAAGGGTGTTTAGCTGTCCGCACGTAGCTTACAAAATTTAAGCTTACGTGCGGACAGCTAAACACCCTTAACGTCGGTTTTAGCCTCAGTCCTAACGAAATAGCAAGCACAAACTCGTGCTAAAGCTAAGGCAAATATGCGGAACTAACTGTTGGATGAACAATGAATTAAAAGGCACACAAAGATTGGAGACCAAGGCCAATTTTCTGGTTTATGTTATAAACAAAGGGAAATTACAAGCAAGAAAGGAAATATCTGAATGATTTCTAGCAGATCCTAAGTGTGCTATTTATACACAAAAATGGCCAGCTGCATGGCCCTACACGGTGCTGGCTGATGATGATTCTGCCCCACAAAGTGCTGGAATGGCCAGCTGCATGGCCCTAAATGGTGCTAGCTGATGATGATTCTGCCCCACAAAGTGCTGGAGCATGATCATGCTGGCCAGTGGGCTGTGCAGTAATTGCTGCTGGCCCAGCTTGTCTCTCATGATGGCAGCTGCTTTTCCCATGTGTTGTTGCTTTCTCCCATGTGCCATGTTTTCGCCCATGTGCTGCTGCCCTTGACTTTGTTGGAATGTTGGCACAAGATCTTGGACTTGAGCAGCTATGGCAGCTGCGAATTTGGCCGTGTCGGGCAGCGAAATTGATATAGAATTCGGCGGGTTGGTACACACTCCCCCACTTGAAATGGCGACGACCGCGGCGCCATAAAGTTTAAAGTAATCATGGACTTGATCCTTGAACTGCCATAAGTCCTCGTATTTTTCCCATGACGCCTCCTCCGCTGACTGTCCCTTCCAATGAACAAGAAATTGGGCACTTGAATTGCCCCAACCTTTGCCTCGGACTAATTGATGATCGATGATTGCCTCAATCTTCTTGTCTATGGCAGAAGGTGTAATGAAAATTTGGGCACGACTGGATTGCCCACGCTCCGCATCATCCTTGTCTGCATAGTATGGTTTCAGCTGACTGGCATGGAAGATAGGATGAATTTTTAAATGACTAGGCATATCCAACTTGAATGAGATCTTACCAACATTGGCAAGAATTTCGAATGGCCCCTCATAGCGCCAGATCAAATTTTGATTGACGCCTCTCAATGATTTGAATTGGTGGGGATTGAGTTTTACCATTACTCTATCTCCAATTCGGTAGTGCACCGGTCTGCGTTTCCGATCAGCAAATTTCTTCATTTTTCGAGCAGCCTTGTCCAAGTACGATCTGGCCATATCTACTTGCTCTTCCCAAGCCTTTGCCATATGGAACGCCCTTGGGTTCCTTAATTCCGAATTCACTGGCAAGGTTTGAGGTGCATTCGGCTGCTGCCCCATTGCTAGCTCGAACGGACTCCTTCCGGTAGACTCACTACGTTGCAGATTGTAAGAGAATTGGGCGGTATCAAGTAACTTAGCCCAATCTCTCTGAGTTGCACTCACAAAGTGCCTCAAGTATAGCTCAAGAAGAGCATTGACCCTGTCCGTTTGTCCATCTGTTTGGGGATGAAAACTGGTGGAAAAATGTAATTTCGACCTCAACAAATTGAACAATTCTCTCCAAAAAGCACCAGTGAATCGAGGGTCTCGATCGCTGATGATGTGAGTAGGGATAACCCAATGTTTGACGTCCCTAAGGAACAACCGTGCTGCCTCTTTTGCTTTGCAATTTGCTGTGGTGGCTGTGAAGGTTGCATATTTCGAAACTCGATCAACCACGACCATGATCGTGCCAAAGTCTTCTGAGTTTGGCAAACACGCAATGAAGTCCATGGTTATGCTGTCCCATGGTTTCTCCGCTACGGGTAAGGGCATCCAGGCCAAAATCTTTATATTAGAATCCCTTCAGTCAGGTTATTAATTTGATGAGGCTTCTTAAGGTCGTAGATTTGAGTTCCCATAAATTGGTTACTTTTTTGGCGTTAGCTATGTTGAAACCACTAATTCACCTTAAGTATGCCGCACTTTTCATACATACATTCGATTTTTGTGGAAAATCACATCTGCCCCATCTAGAAACTTCAATTATCAAGTGTTTAAGGTGTGCACGGTTATCAGGGAATTTTTGGAAAATGAAAAATTAAGGCATGTAGAGTTTACTGAAGCTGGTGTTTTTTGGGGAAAGCAGATCTTTAAAGAGTCCTCTAAGTTGGAAAATTTGAGGATATTAAGGGGTATTGAATTGACATTCGATGCTGATTGCTTGAATATTTTAGTACAGAGGTGTCCTAATCTTCAAGAACTTGAAATCTTTTTTTTGATAAATTATTCTGATAAAGAAAAGATTTGTCTCAAATTGGAGAGTCTTACCCAGCTTCAATCACTTAGCCTTTCATTTTTCTGGCCCACTGTTGTATGCAAGTTACACTTGCCTTCAAATGTAAAAAAATTGAAACTAAACGGGTGTCGAATAGAAAGCACGATTGCTGGACCAGTAAATCTGGAGTATCTCAAATTGTGGAATAATTGCCGAGAGTAGTGCCTTGGAGATATCACGTTCCCTAAACTTAAGTTGTTGAAACTTAGGAACTTAGGTATCTCAAAGTGGGATGCGTCATCTTTTCCCCAGCTTGAAACACTAGTTATAAAAATCATGTTATTAATGGTAAGAGGTTGAATGAGGTCTTGGAAGAGGTTGGAGCTCTTGTGGGCGATGTTCTATGTGTAATTCATAGCTCTATGATCAAAGATGATACTAGCAAGATAAACCTTTGCTCAGTACAGATATTGGAGAAAACTGAAAATCTGAAGGCACAACTGGAGAGGTACTACAAATCCTTAAAATTCACTCCGTCTCAGTTTCCCACAGTTGGTGGATTGACCTTTCTGGATTCTCTATTAAGAAAATTGAATGAGATGATGAAATCTCAATTAGGTTTAGATGTCATGATGAAGCCTCATATTGTTATTTTAGAGAAAGAGTTCTCTTATCTAACATCTGTTTTCACAAATGTTGCAAAGGTGCAGCATGAACATGAAATTCTTAATGATATTCAGAGGCGTACTATCAATTTGGCATACGAAGTTGAAGTTGCCATTGACTCTATTCTTGCTAAGTGTAATGCTCTTTGGTATCTTTTGTGCTCACTTCCTACAATCTTAGAAGAGATCAAGCATATTAGTGCGGAGGTGACCAGGATATGGTCGGAGAACCTTGCTCTTAAGCCTTGCTCCATGGTAGAGCCATCTAAACATATGCCAACTCAACATAGCAATCTTATGAATGATGAGGAGATAGTTGGTTTTGAGAATGACACGAAAAGAATAATTCGTTATCTGACACAACGGACAAATGAGCTTGATGTCATCCCAATTGTTGGGATGGGGGGACAAGGTAAAACAACTTTTTCGAGAAAGGTGTACAATAATGATATCATTATTTATCACTTTGATGTTCGAGCATGGTGCGTGATTTCCCAAACATATAGCAGGAGAGAGCTATTACAAGAGATTTTCAACCAAGTTACCGGTTCCAAGGACAAGGTAGATGAGGTTGGGGAACTAGCTGACAAATTGAGGAAAAGCTTAATAGGAAAGAGATATCTCATTGTCTTGGATGATATGTGGGATTGTATGGCATGGGATGACTTAAGACTTTGTTTCCCTGATGTTGTAAATAGAAGCAGAATTATAGTAACAACTCGTCTTGAGAAAGTGGGTGAACAAGTCAAGCTCCATTCTGATCTTTATTTCCTTCCATTCCTCACACCCGAAGAGAGTAGGGAATTGTTGCAGAAAAAAGTGTTTCAAAACGAAACTTGCCCACCTGAACTATGCGGTGTGAGTCTAGATGTTGCAAGACGATGCAAAGGGTTGCCCCTAGTAGTTGTCTTGGTAGCTGGAATAATCAAAAAGAAGAAAATGGAAAGATCTTGGTGGCATGAGGTTAAAAAAGCTCTATTTTCCTATCTTGACCGTGAGTCTGCAGACTATAGTCAGGAAACTATGCAATTAAGTTATAATAACTTACCCGACTATTTAAGACCTTGCCTTCTCTACATGGGGATGTTTCCAGAGGATGAAAGGATCCAGGTGTCTAAATTGATAAGTTTATGGATCGCGGAAGGTTTCATACAGAACATTGAATGTGGGAGATTAATGGAAGAGACAGCTGAAGGTTACTTGATGGATCTCATTAGCAGTAACGTGGTAATGGTTACAAGGAGAAGATATAATGGTAAAGTCAAATTCTGCCAGGTTCATGATGCAGTGCTTCACTTTTGCTTGGAGAGGAGTAGACAAGAAAAGTTTATGTTGGCAGTGAGGGGGAACATTCAACTTTCCGATTTGAAGGAAAGTCGAGTGAGTTTCTATAATGAAGGAGAATCTAAGTTTGGATCCAAAACGCGGAAGCCATTCCACCAACACTTGAGGTCACTGATAACCACCAATGAAGGAGAACCTTTATATTGGAATATCTTCGGTCAGGATATAAATTTGATGAGGCTTCTTAAGGTCTTGGATTTGAGTTCCCATGAATTGGGTCATTTGTCGTTAGCTACGTTGAAACCACTAATTCACCTCAAGTACGTCGCACTTTTCCTAGATACATTCGATTTTCGTGGGAAGTCACATCTGCCCCATCTAGAAACATTAATTCTGAAGTGTTCCAATTATACACGGTTGTCAGGGAATTTTTTTAAAATGAAAAAATTAAGGCATGTAGAGTTTACTGAAACTGGTTTTTTTGGGGGAAAGCACAGCAATGAAGAATCCTGTAAGTTGGAAAATTTGAGGATATTAAGGGGTGTTCAATTGTCACTCGATGCTGATCGCTTGAGTGTTTTAGTACAGAGGTGTCCTAATCTTCAAGAACTTGAAATCTATTTTTTCAGAATTGATTCTGACGAAGAAAATATTTGTCTCAATATGGAGAGTCTTACCCAACTTCAATCACTTCGCCTTTTCTTTCCCATGTCCGCTGTTGTACACTTGCCTTCAAATATAAAGAAATTGGTACTATGCGAGGCTTCGATGGAAAGCACTATTTTCTCTATTGCAGGACTACCAAGTCTGGAGTATCTCCAATTAATGGATCCGCATTTTATTCAATCTGAAGAGTGGTGCCTTGGAGATATCACCTTCCCTAAACTGAGGGTGTTGAAACTTATGAACTTAGGTATCTCAAGGTGGGATGCGTCAGAGGAATCTTTTCCCCAGCTTGAAACACTTGTTATAAAAGGGTGTTATGATCTCGAGGAGATCCCCCTTAGCTTTTCAGATATTCCAACGCTGATACAGATTAAGTTGATGGGGGTGCAGCCGCAATGAATCTCTGAAGGCTTCAGCTGTGCGAATTAAGAAAGAAATTGAAGAGAATGAAGGATGCGACCGTATTGACCTCATCATTATTGATGTAAGTAGAAACAAACTCCAGTGTGATATTTTAGTTGTCTTTATTTGCATCTAATGGTTGTTTAATGGATGTTTCTGGCAGTGATGAGTCAAGCACGTGTTTATCACAACAACATGGTAAAGTTTTCAGTCCCTTTTAAATACAAATAGTATTGCTTTTCGATCTCAAACATAGCTTCCTCATAAATGTATAGCAATTCATAAAATTCCATTATCAACTAGCCCTTCTAAATACAAATATTGTTTCCCCTTAAATTCTTGATCGAGCGCACTTTGCTAAGAGATTTGGACTGTATTATATTGCTCTCTTCTGCAGGAGAGTATCAAGAAAATATTCACCTTGCTGGGACCTTTGGGGTCATGGAGTAATTGATATGGTGTCGCTTCGTGCAATTCATGTTTTCTGCAGTCTATGATGAGACTGCTGCAATAAATTAAGAAAAACTTTGTTTTTTTGTCTTTTCAAGCATTGTTAAGTTTAAGTAAGTCTCTGTGTGGTTGTTCGAGATTTTCGATAAACTCTTTGCTCCAAAGTATTGGCTTGAAACTACCTTGTATTGGATTCTGTAGCATTTCGAGTAACCCGATCGTGTGGGGTGTTTTCAATGTAAAACTGTTTCGCATATTTCCTATTCTGTTATGGTTGTATTTCAACTATCATTGTTTTGTTGAATGACATGTTATTCCAGCCAAATGAATTGTTTGTCTTCACCTAAGTGTTTGTCTGCACGATTATAAACATAAGCACATAATAAGTTGCAGTAATTGTATAAAGGATGAATAGCATGAGAAAAACGAAAGGGTCCTTTTACAGGCTTGTTCAAGAATTTTTGACAATAGATGTACCAAAGTATCTTCGTGGTTGAAACAAAGTACACCTACCAATCATCAACCAATAAAACATTGTGAAGCAACACTGCAGGGGAAGATCGGGGTTAATCAGCGCACAACCAAATACAAAGCAAATAGATAAGTAAAAAGTACACATGAATTGAACGAGATTCAGCTCACGGCCAGCTCAGCACAAAATGTGCAAAATATTAAGGTAAAAAATAGTTTAGGGGGGTAATAGGATTCCCAATAATAGTTTAGGGGGTACTAGGTTTCCCGTATAGAAAAAGTGTGTAGTTGGAACTTTGGGTATATGACAGGGGGGTAATTAGGCATTTTCCCTTAAAATATTTTGGAGCTGTTTTAGCTCAACAACTGATATCATAGCCAATAATTTAGCGGGATGAGTATGGAAATTGTTGAGTGCTGAATTGGAACGTGACTTCGTGCTTTTGCCCGTCTAAACCACAAGAAGCTAGCATTTGCGCTTCGATGACCATAAATACTCGAATACTTTTTTGATAAAATTGTACAAGTTTGGTCTAAAATAAATAATAATATACTATATATTAAAAATATGAATAGCCAAACAACTTTGTATCAAAGTATATATATACTTTTTCACTTTCGTGAATGCACATCACATGGATAAAGGAGAAATTATATATATGTGGGACTCCATTGTTGCTTGACAAGTCCTTTTATGGATCCCATTTGTCAGTCTAAAAAAGCAAAAAAGTATTCCTATTTACGTGGCACATTTTTTTTAGTATATGCTAATTAAATAAAATATATTTTCAAATTCCTTTACTGATCATCCACTCAACCTAATATATATCTTGAGACTGAGAGTGTGTAACTATTATCCCTTCCTCCTCCTCCTACAGCAGCTTTTACTTTTTACAGGTATTTCATTTTGTGATTTCTTTTATTTACTCTTGAATCTTTTATGTTTTAGTTTTAATGATCATCCCTTGTGCTTCCTCTTAGGATATATATTGTATCAGAAATTGGAGTTACAAAAGAAGACAAAGGATGCTTAATTGATTGTAAGACTTGGAACTGAACTTGTGTTAACTTATCTTCTTTTGCAAATCTCTAAATTGGTTTCATTTTTCAATCTACAAGTCAACTTCTTATATTGCCAGAACACCTACATGAATCCATTTATCTTATGTCTTATAACTACTACTCCCTCCGTTCCAATTTATGTGACATTGTTTAAGTGAGCATAGAGTTCACTTTTGAAACTTATGGTTTAAAATAAAACTTAAATATTTTTGTACCTATAAATCATCTCGTTACTAGTTACTTACCATCCTGGACCCTTGAAGCAACTGTCAAGTGGTGTCCTTGTGACCTATAGGTCACGGGTTCGAGCCACGGAATCATCCACTCATACTTGTATCAGGGTAGGCTGCCTACATCATACCTCTTGGTGCAGCCCTTCCCCTGACCCTACGTGCACTTTTTTTTACATAGTTCCTTATCGAAAGCAAAAATATGAAAGAAGGGAGGATTGTATAATTTATTTGATATCGCAAAAGATATATGCACAATATGTCAAAACCTAAGGGAAGTTTGTGAAATTTTTCATAATAAAAGAAGTGCAGAACATGTATAATCTTTCACAAGCATTACAGCTTATTATAGTAGTATTAAAATACATTAATAAAATTTCTCTCTTAGTGAAGATTAATATGACAAGAGTTTGGTGAATTTGCAGGGATTTTCTACATTTTAATTTATCTACCGAAAATGGCGCATAACGACATTGAGGATATGTTAGATCACCTGAGAAGGATTAAGAGTAGAGGTGATTTGAATGTTGTCAAGATTGAAACACTTGAAATGGAGCTAAGATTTTTGAGAACCTTTATCAAGTACCCTCATGCTCTTTTGCCTGATTCCTTAATAGAAATCAGAAAGAAGGCCAAATTGATTGCGGAAATGGTTCACTCGGTTTTTGGTGGAATTTCAGGTGAATGCAAAACTAGTCTTAATGTGGAAAGGCTAGTATCAGAATTGCAGGAATTCGGTGAAGATAATGGTACCAGTTTAATATACATCAACGTTGAACTGAATGATTCGTTTATGTTGGAATATATGGATTACCTTGACCAGAATCTAAATGATGCACCGAAGTACTTGGTTCGATCTGTCGCTTTTTTCGCGGAAAAAATCAATATCCTGCAAAATACAGATAGATACTTAAGGCAAGTCAAAATCATTCAAAACAAAATAAGGTTTATAAGATACTTATATGGTGCAGAGATAAAGGATTATATCGACCGTGAGAAGTTGGAAGGTATGCAGGCTCGAATACAGTTCATGGCTGACAATGTGCGACAGTTCTGTCTTGCTCTTTGGATTAAAATGGATGAAGATGGTACATCTGATATCGAGAGTAAGCCTCCTTATCTACTATGTTTGGTTGTGATTGTGGAGCTGGAAATGAAAAAGATTTTTCTCTGTGAACTAAAGGCGTCAAAGTTTACTCAATCAAGAACTTTCAAGGACAAAAAATTACCAAAAGGATTTTCATATCAACTCCACTGTCTTCTGGTGTATCTTAGAGATAAAAAGCTTGACAACTTCCCCACTATTGTCTCTGCTCAAAACATTGATGTGGCAATAGTGTTCTTGTCAGTTTTTCTCGGCGATATACCAAATCATGTAATTAATGGTAATAGGTTGAGTGAAGTGTTAGAAAAGGTTGGTGTTCTTGCGGGCGACATCCTTTGTATAATTCAAAAGCAGCTTCTTTCAGGATCGACAATCAAAGATGATGCGGGCAAGATTCATCTTGGCATGATACAAATATTTGAAAAAATTGAAGATCTAAAGGCACAACTAGAGAGGCACTACAAATCCTTGAAATACAGGCCATCTCAGTTTCCCACGGTTGGTGGATTGAGCTTTTTGGATTCGCTCCTAAGGAAATTGAATGAGATGTTGAAAGCTAAAACATGTTTAGATTTCATATTGAAACCTCATATTGTCATTTTAGAGAAAGAGTTCTCATATCTAACATCTGTTTTCAGAGATGTTGCAAAGGTGCAGCATGAACATGAAATTCTTAAAGATCTTCAGAGGCGTACTATCAATTTGGCATACGAAGCTGAAGTTGCCATTGACTCCATTCTTGCTCAGTGTAATGCTCTTTGGCATCTTCTTTGCTCCCTTCCTACAATCATAAAAGAGAGCAAGCATATTAGTGCGGAGGTGACCAGGATGTGGTCGGAGAACCTTGCTCTTAAGTCCTGCTCTATGGTAGAGCCATCTAAACATATGTCAACTCAACCTAAAAATCTTATGAATGGTGAGGAGATAGTTGGTTTTGAGAATGACACAAAAAAAATAATTCGGTATCTGACACGAGGGACAAATGAGCTTGATGTCATCCCAATTGTTGGGATGGGGGGACAAGGTAAAACAACTTGTGCTAGAAAGTTGTATAATAATGACATCATTGTTTATCATTTTGATGTTCGAGCATGGTGCGTCATTTCTCAAACATATAGCCGGAGAGAGCTACTACAAGAGATTTTCAATCAAGTTACCGGTTCCAAGGACAAGGTAGATGAGGTTGGCAAACTAGCTGACATGCTGAGGAAAAGCTTAATAGGAAAGAGATATCTCATTGTCTTGGATGATATGTGGGATTTTATGGCATGGGATGACTTAAGACTTTGTTTCCCTGATGTTGTAAATAGAAGCAGAATTGTAGTAACAACTCGTCTTGAGAAAGTGGGTGAACATGTCAAGTGCCATACTGATCTTTATTTCCTTCCATTCCTCACGTCCGAAGAGAGTTGGGAATTGTTGCAGAAAAAAGTGTTTCAAAACGAAGCTTGCCCACCTGAACTACACGATGTGAGTCTAGATGTTGCAAGACGATGCAAAGGGTTGCCCCTAGTGGTTGTCTTGGTAGCTGGGATAATCAAAAAGAAGAAAATGGAAAGATCTTGGTGGAATGAGGTTAAAAAAGCTCTATTTTCCTGTCTTGACCGTGAGTCTGAAGACTATAGTTGGGCAACTATGCAGTTAAGTTATGATAACTTACCCGACTATTTAAGACCTTGCCTTCTCTATATGGGAATGTTTCCAGAGGACGAAAGGATCCCGGTGTCTAAATTGGTAAGTTTATGGATAGCGGAAGGCTTCTTGCAGAACATTGAATCTGGGAGATTAACGGAAGAGACAGCTGAAGGTTACTTGATGGATCTCATTAGCAGTAACGTGGTAATGGTTTCAAGTAGAAGATATAATGGTAAAGTCAAATACTGCCAGGTTCATGATGTAGTGCTTCACTTTTGCTTGGAGAGGAGTAGAGAAGAAAAGTTTATGTTGGTGGTGAGGGGGAACATTCAACCTTCTGATTTAAAGGAAAGTCGAGTTAGCTTCAGTTTCAGTAATGAGCTTTCCAAGTTTGCATCCAAAACACGGAAGCCTTTCCACCAACACTTGAGGTCGCTGATAACCACCAATGGAGGAGAATCTTTATATTGGAATCCCTTCAATCAGGTTATTAATTTGATGAGGCTTCTTAAGGTCTTGGATTTGAGTTCCCATAAATTGGCTCATTTGTCGTTAGCTATGTTTGAAACAATAATTCACCTCAAGTACGTCGCACTTTGCACAGATAAATTCGATTTTCATGGAAAATCATATCTGCCCCATCTAGAAACTTTAATTCTCAAGTGTTATAGGCGTACGCAGTTATCAACGAGTTTTTGGAAAATGAAAAAATTAAGGCATGTAGACTTTATTAAAACTGGTTTTTGTTGGGAA